TTAGTCCCTGGAGCTCAGTATTAATCAATAATTCACTGTTAGAGCATCAGATTTTTAGTTAAACAACATAATTAAATACAGAAGGGCTCACGAATTCACAGTAGGGAAGGAATCTAAGAGGTAGCAGTATATGGTTGTATCTGACAATTTCAAGTCTTTTAAATGAACATACAGCATATCACTGCCAGGGAACTAAATGTTAAATAATTACTTGAGTTCACACAGAGCTTGGAGAGTCAAGTTCCTGTCAGGGGGAAGTAATCTCACTGAAGACCCAGGAATTAACAGAATACACAGGAAAGCCACACTCTTAATAGTGGGTCTAAATTACATCTAAGGTAAAGGATATACTTAATTTATATAACAAATCTTAAAGCAAAATTGTAAAAGACCCAGCTAATCTCCAAGTAACTCACCTCCTTTTTTCTCTTTTAGGAAGGTAACAAAATCTAAAATCTTCACAATTTAACCTTATAATGTCTGGCATGCAGTCAGAAATTACTAGACACACAAAGAAGCAGGAAAATGTGGCCTATAATCAAGATAAATACCAGTAAATAGTTTCAGACGTAGGAATGACAGAGCTGATGGAATTAGCAATAAGGACCTTAGAATATCTATTATAAATATGCTTAAGATTTCAAAATAAAACATACATAATGAATAAACAAATATGAAAGGCATCAAAAAGTAACAGTTTGAACTTCTAGAAATTAAAAGGGTACTGTCAAAATGAAAAATTTACCAGATATCTATTCAGTGGAATAGATAATACAGAAGATACAGTCAGTAAACTTAAAGACATAGCAATCAAAGGTGTCCAAACTGAAGCAAGAGATAAAACCTCACAGCCTCAATGGCTCATGAGACTATATCAAGCAGATCAACATACGTGTAATTGGTATCTTAGAAGGGAGGAGGTAGAAACAAATATTTGAAGAAAATGGCTAACAATTTAATGTTAGCCATTAATGTAAAGGATAAACCCACACATTCAAGAATCTCAAATGAACCCACGCAGAATAAACACAAAGAAAACCACACCAAGGTAACTAAAAGCCCAATCATTGAAAATAATTGGTAATTTTTCCCCAACAGCCAAAGGGAAGAAATAGGCATGTTACATACCATGGTGGGGGACAGGGGAAGGAAATGAACGACTAGTCACAGTCTTCTAATAGGAACAATGAAAGCTAAAAGCAATGGAACGATATTCTTAAAGTTATAAAAGAAAATATAGTCAATTTACACTTCTGTAACAAATAAAACTGGCTTTCAGAAGTAAAGACAAAATAAAGATATTTTTTCTGACAAACAAAATGAAGAACACCTCTTGTTAGTAAATCCACACTATAAAAATGTTAAAGGAATTTTTTAGTACTTAATCCAACTACATCAATAATTACAAAACATGCACACACACTGTACAGCTAATCAAAATCAGAGATTGACAGCTTGGTTAACAAACTAAAGTGCATCTACATACTACTTACAAGAAATAAGATTTTTTTTCGTTTTTTAGAGAGGAAGGCGGTGGGGGAGAGAGGGAAAGACACGGATTAGTTGCCTTCTGGTATGCACCCCAATCCAGGATGAAACCACAGCCTGGGTATGTGCTCTGACTGGGAATCAAGCCTGTAACCTTTTGGTCTACAGGACAATGCTCCAACTAAGCCACATTGGCTAAAGCACAAGAAATCAGTTTTAAACAATAAAATATAATATTTTTAAAGTTAAAAAATTAAAGATAAGATAGAGGTTAAGAGTATAGCTCTAGTAATAAAGGTATAGCTCTAATAGTAAAACATCTGGTTTAGTTATATTAATATCAAAGTACAATCAAATCAAAGAAGTATTACCAGAAATAAAGAGGAACGCTTCATGAAGATAAAAGTGTCACTTCACACAGAAGACATAACAGTCCAACTTGTACATGCACTTAATGACAAAGCTTCAAAAATTCATGAAGCAAAAGCTAACAGCACTAAATTTATACACACATTGACAATTACAGGTGATTTTAACACTTGGTTCTCAGTAATTGACAGAACAAATTTAAAAATCATTAATAAACTAAATTTCTTGAACAACCAATTGAACCTAATTGACATTTAGAAAACACTATAGCCAACAACTACAGAATATACATTCTTTTCAATTTCACTTGGAATTATCAATTTTGGTGAATACCAAAATAGACCATAATCCAGATCTCAATAAATTTCAGAGGACTGTTACTACACAGAACATGTTCTGTGTCTAAAACAGAATTACATTAGAAATTAATAACAGAAAAATATCTGAAAAATCCCCAAATATTTGGAAATCAAACAACATATTCCTAAATAATCCACGAGTCAAAAAAGAAATCACAAGGAAAATTTCAAAATATTTTGAACTAAAAATAATAAAAATATAACATCTCAAAATTTGTGGGATACAGCTAAAGCAGTATTTGAAGGCAATACTAGTTTTAAATGCTTGTATTAGAAGAAATAAAGGTTTAAAATCAATGATCTATGTTTCCACCTTAGAAGCTCAAAGAAGAAAAGCAAATTAAATTCAACATAGAAAGACAGGAAATAATAAAAAATAGCAGCAGAAGTCAATGAAATTTTTTAAATTAGTAAAGAAAATCAATAAAGGTAAGAGATGGTTCTTGGAAAAATTAGTAAAATTGATGACCTCCTTAAGCTAGACTGATTGAGAAAAAAATAAGTGATCATGAATTCCCAATAGCAGACTTGGCACAATGTAACTTCTGCAAATAGTCTCAAGCCCCCTCCCTAATAACCACCACTACTGCCTATTTACCCTATCCCTGCCCAGGGAACCTTAGACCTCTCCACAATCTAGCAACTGAAGGGTTAATGTCTCACACAATAGGGACCCTTGCAGACCCCTGCACTCTTTGAAGAACCTGTGGCTTTGTCCCTTTCAGGCCTTGAGATTCTACAAGTTGTTCATTATTTTGACCATCACTACTGAGTTTATACCAATAAAACAGGAGCTAATGTTTTGGAGGACCTCATTTATTATCAAATCCTAAGTTTTGAGTCAAAAAGGAATATTCCCAGAGCTGTGGAGTGGACCAGTTGGAGATTTTTTAAGGTTCTTCTTTCAGTTAAATAAACATCATGCTTTCTATTAGAAATAAAAATCTTCAAAATTAATGTCACTTCATGACAGTTTATGGTGCTATTCAATATAATGGCAAAATATTCAAAGTCATCTACAAACAAACAGTAAAGGAAAACACATCGTAAAGTTCTGATAAGCAACATTTAAACTGAGAAAATAGTGATATTAAATAGATTTAAATACTTTTTTTGCTTTTCTGTTTATTTCTGGAATGGAAAAACAAGCATTACAACAAAGTGCCTCCTACCTAAAATAGATTTTTAATTAGAACCTGAAATTCTAGTTTTATTTAAAAAATCACCTCAAAAGTACCTTTTCAGGTTTTTTTAAATATCCAACTTTTAAAAAATATTAATTAGCAAATGGGTTAAGAGCACAGACTCTGAAGCTCGACTTCCTTAGTTAGCACCCCAGCTCCACCACTTAGTGGCCATGTGGCCGATCGCACTTATGTGGCCACAGGAAAGTTAGTTTCTCTAACTGCCTCTCTTTCTTATCTGTAAAGGGGGGATTAATAATAGCACCTATCTGTTATGATGACTTAAAAAGCAAATATTTGCAAGGTGTTTAGAATAGTGCTGCCCACACAAGTGCAATCTAAGTGTCAGTTAAATATGTAAGTAATAAATAATACTTCAGGTCACATTTACTATTATCACCAATCTTTGAGAAAGGTGAAAATTTAAATCTGATGTCCAAACAAAACGTTTAAATATAAATCTAAGTTTTAAAGCTTGTTATCCAAATTCGACACAAATCTCCCTCCCTTCCAGTGTTCACCTATTGCATTCCCCATGCTATTCTTTCTCCACCAAGCCATCCACATATGACTGTGTGTGCCTTGTTTCATGCCGACAGATTGTTAACTCTTCTCATCAGCGGAAGAACAAGTAAAGCAAGATTGAAGCCTCTGCTATGAACCTCTTAGGTAATAAAGTTAATAGCGCTGTTTGTTCATGACTACCTAGAACAAAGATAAAGTGAGCAGATAGTATTTCCCTCACTGAAGTCCCAGAGCAAAAAGGTTCCCCATTCCTGTGGTGAGGGTTTTAGCAGGAATTGTACCCATTTCACATTGTATAACGACCTGCTATGAAGCCTTCCTAAGTGGTTAAATTACTTCTTGCCTCTATAAACTAGGGATTAATAGACTATGTTGTCAGATATAATGAGTTAATACATAAAGTGCCTACATAAGCATGTAAAGCAAGAATATCTTAAATGCAAGCTACTATTATTTTGCAGGAATAAGTCGTTTCAGTTTGAGCATTGCCTTTCCTTTAGAGGTTTATTGCAAGTTACCTACATGACCAAGTAAAAGGAGGGTGGAGGGGCACCAGTTCGAAGTTGAAGGAGCGCGAAAGAAGCTGATAATAGCACAGAAGGACACAGTCTGTTCTAAAGCTCTGGAATAAATTTTAGCATGGTAATCAGAGAAGAATTCCAGTGGCCAGCAACTTTCCATACAAAGCTCCTAACACACAAAGCAGAGCGCTGAGAATCCAGCAGCAGGACACATTTCGATACTCGCAAGCCAGAAGGGGGCCTCAGCACAACCCATGGTCCATAAATTTCCGAGAGTTGGCTCGGCAGCCCCCAAGCTCTGAGAGATGCCTTCATTCTACGAGGTGTGTCTGTGCTTCACTACTGCGTGGCTTCAGCAGTGGTCTGGAGTGGCAGTGGGCTATTCGGCCATTCACACACTTGAGACCAGGGATGTAACCTCCGCTTCGCACCAAGAATTACAATCCAACCCGGTCGGTAGGGGCGTGGCTTGTGCGGAAGCCCCACCCGTCCATCTCCATTGGCTGAGGGTGTCCGGGGGCGGGGTCAGCTCACAAAAGCCTGGGACTCCACAGCTACTGCTCCAAGGGAACACAGGTCCATGGGTGGGAGAAGAAGCCCAGCAGGTTAAGGAGCAATCGCCTACACCTGGAAAGCCTTGTCTGGCGGACATGGGGGGAGAGGTGAGGCTGCCGCCTGGAGAGCCCTGCCGAGAAGGTGAGTGTATGCCCCAGCCAGGGGTCCTGGCATCTGGGTGGCGACGAGAGCAAGTGGGCGGTCCCAAGTGCTTGGCGACTCTTAATTCATTCACCATTCATTAACATTCATTCAGTCAGTCAGTCACCAAGCCAACGAGGCAGCAACTATTTATTGGTGCCTACAATATGTGTCTTTGGGAAAGCCTGAATTAGTCGAACAAGACATACATGGCTCCCACTCTGGTCTGGGAGGCAGATGCAGGTAAATTACACTGTGCTTAGTCTCGTGGTGGAGAAACTCAGGATGCGTGGAAAGACTCCCAAGTCTCGTCTGAGAAAGATGCTTCCACTGACTCAGACTCACTTCCAGAGTCCGCTGTCGACACCACCCTGTGGGCAGAGGGCGTGCCCGGGAACCTGGCGGGAGTCCCACATGGCACCCTGAGCTGGCTCTGCCAGGGCCAAACTGCCGTGGAAAGTCAGGCGCCCTGGACCGAGGGGGAGCACGCGGGGCCCACCTGGGCCGCCCACTCCTCTCTCACTTGGAGATGAAAACGTCCCCTGCCCCACCAGCCTCTAGTCTGACTCTTGGTGCAGTCACATCCCGGCAGCGTAAAGCGAGAGCCCGACGTCAGAGGAGACCGGAACTGGGTGCAGTCGTTTGTAGGTTTGTCACTGCGGGCTGGGCTGCGGTTTCAGTCCCCACCCGACCCCAGGTACTTGGAACACAGGCAGCCTTTCTACTGTCACAAGGCGCGTGTGGGTCCAGATTAAAAAAGGCATGGGGGGGGGGGCGGAATGGGGGCGGTAGGTGTGACAGGAAAGGTGTAGATCAACTGAAATTGTGACGGTTTCCACAGTTTCAAGGAGAAAGACAATGTTTAACTTAACTGATGAGGATGTAAGGAGGGTGAGGATAGTGAGGGACGTGACAAGAACTATATACCTTTTCCAAACTTGCTGGCAACTTTACCGTCTTCTCTCCTCCTGGTCCCTACAGCTATCCCTTGATATGGAGAGGGTTTTTCATTGTTGTTCATTGTAGGCGGTGAACTAGTCAAAAGTCGAAACTGTGGTGAGAGAGAAAAGGGAGAGAGAAAATGTCTGGAACAATTCACACACTATTCAAAGGTAGAGATTTTGGAAGGGGCTGCTTAGGTAGCTGGGTCTAGATTTCCTAGATAGTAATGTTGTGTGACCTTTCTCTAAATAATTCCTAAACCAGTCAAGGTAGACTGTTACTAACCCATCGCCCTCGTTTACCCAAGGATCTGTAAGGAGGGTGTGTGGTTTCACCGGCTTGTTTGAAGGTCCTAGCAAAGCAGGATGTTTTTCCTGCTTTGCTAGCTAATACATTTAGTTCCAACACGAAATATTCAAGCTCAGTGCTTAATACCTGTGGTTAATTGTGGCAATTAATTGTGTGGGAGAGAGGTGGGAGAGCCCAGAATCCACATTGTCAGAAGTGGTGGGAAGAGACTAGGTTTTGGCATCAGTTTTCTCAGCTATAGTTTAGCCTCCTTGAGTCTTTCTTCCTCAATAAACTGGGAATAATTCTTGCACTTTACAGTTGTGAGGAATAGAAGTGGGCGGGATTACATATGAAGCCTGACATGGAGTAAAGGCTCAATTTTAATGAGTCCCATAGGCCAGGCATTGGCCCGGGGCCTAGTACAGAGGAATTTGCAAGATCGCCTGGTCCTAGAGTTTAGGTCCAGGCCCCAGCTCCCATGCAGTTTACCGTCCAGGTGACAGATCATATGCAAGAAACAAATGAATAAAAAAAGGACAACAGTGGTGAGTTTCATGGATAATGTATTGAGAGCACTGGGATGTTCAGACTGGGTACGCAGAGAAGACTCGCACGTGAGCTGAGACCCAGATGAAAAGGAGTCCATTACGCTCTGACAGAGCATTCCGGTTGTGCTTCTGTGCGGGAAAAGTTACCCCCTAGTGTGGTTTCTACTTTTAAAATAATAAATGCTTCAAAAGGCCTTCTAATCCAAAACTAGCTCAAAAAAATAAATTTAAACACATACAAAGGGGGTTTTTTTATTTAGGATTTTTATATTATATCATCAGTTCTACAGATCTTAATTTAACTCCAGTGGAGCTTTATTAACATAAAACTATGACATGATAAAAAGAGAATGTGAGAAATACCCCTATCACCTGTGATGCACCAACTGATTATGTGCCAGGAGACACCACGGACAGGAAGACCTGGTTTGGCAGTAGGGAGAGTTGGAGGAGGAGAGGGATCCAATGGCTTTCAAACTTTTCTTTGAGTGAGCTGCTTTCCCAGGGTACAGCCAACTAGCAGAGTGAAAAATGACATAGGCTGTATATAGAGCTGACTCAGCCTGTCTTTCTGATTTTGAGAGGAGAAGATTGAGGAACTGTGCCCCTCTTTGAGAACTGGCTCTATCTCTCTTATACCAATTAGGACATGTCTCATTCTCATGTATATAAATTTTCAAAACAGGTTAACATAAAATATGTCAGTTTACCCTTACACATATTAAATTCTGTGATTTTATTAGGCACTCATATTCCTTTCACAGATATAGAAACCAAAGCCCAGATTGAATAAGGTTTTAAAATGAGTGACCAAACTAAGCGCAAAATTACTTGGGCCTTTGTGTTGGCTGTAGGTGCCATCCCCTTCTCTGGTCTCTTGGTGCAGTGGTACACATTTTAATGATTCTGAGATTCTTCTCTTTAAAAACATCATATCGTAAACATTACTACTCAGAATTCCAAATGATCACAACTTTTATTTTCAGGACAAGGTGCATTTTCTGTATAGAATCTAACAGTTTATATGTTGAACTAAAAAAGATGTCCTCCAGATTTTTACTAGAAGTTTAAAAGCACAGGTTGTTTTTCTAACATTCCATATTTTCCCTAAGTGCTGAAATTCAAAGGTGCAGTAGTAAAGGAGTAAAGTGCTTTAAGGTTGAAGGTAGTAAAAATTCTCCACTAAATGTTGTTCAGAAAACAACATGCTATTCATTGTTTAGTTTAATATTTAACATGAACTGTATCAAGGTTTAAAAATCTCGATATAGAAGCATGCTTATTAAAGTATTATTTTTAGGTTCTTTTCCTGCATTTTCATTCTTTAATCATTTTATTAATTTTAACGGGATTTTATCTTAACAATTTAGTAAGTTCAGTAACATTCAGATTGTAAAGTGGAAACAGCAGTTTATTAGGAAGTCTGATGGTTAACAGTCTTTTTACACTTTTTGGCTTCCAAACATGGTGATGTTGGGAAGATCTTGTTTAGAGATACAGGTTTTTAACTTTAAAAAAAATTGACAGTGTCTTTTCAATTTTATTTTGGTTCATCGAAATGACTTTCCCAGCCCTATTAGAGTTGATATGAAAATATGTCTATTATGGCTTGATTTCTGAATTTGCTCAAAATTATTTCTCATTCCTATTCTGCTCAACATTTGCTCAAAGTTATTTCTCATCCCAGTTCTGTGCCCTTTATTCCTGTTCACTTGTTTCTTCTCTCACTAAAATCATCAGCTGCATGAGAACAGAGACCTGTTCGCCTGCCCTGTTGATCACTATCTCGCCAGTTCCTGGTACAGGGCATGGCACCCAGGAAGTACTCAGTGAGAATTTGCTAAGCATTAAATAGATGAATACCTACCATAGTGCCTTGCATGGTAGGTGTTCAACAGCTATTTTGTTGAGTGAATTAATGAAATAGCCATACAGATATGTGATGCTGTTATATATAAAGCCATAATTAAACTGTAAGACCAAACTTGTTTGGCAGTGTTAAATAGTGTGATATGGTAGAACTTGATTGAGAAGTTCCTTTAGATTGGGAAAGCAGAGGTGGCATTTTAAGAGAGTGCTTCGTGACCAGGAGGAACTAGCTATGCCAGTCACTACTTCAGCTAAGTAAAGGTTACTTAAAGTTTTAAGGTGAGAAGGAAACTAGCCTATGAAAGGAACTAAAAAAAAAAACATAGTAGGGAATGAAGCTGTACAGATAGCTGATAGACCCTTGCAAACTGTGGTGAGAATTTTGGAGTTTTTTCTGAATGAGAAGGGAAGCCATTCTAGGAGTTGGGAAGGTGAAATGACAAGATTGGACCTGTTTATTTAAAGGCTGATTTCACCTGATCTTGTCCCCATGCTATGTTTCAACCTACTCTCTCACCCCAGCCAACCAGCCTGGATGGCTGCAGTTCCTCCAACCCCTTAAGCACATTCCCACCTCAAGTTATTTGCTTTTACACTTAGCAGAGAGGATTTCCATATAACATGTTTTTTTAAGTATTTCTTTATGCTGCTTTTACTGCTTTCCATGGCACTGAACATATTATGTAGTATTAGTTCACTTGTCTATCTTATTTCCCCTCATTAGAATGACTATAAGAGAGTATGAATGTTCATTCATTCACCATTGTGTCTCCAGCTTCTAGAAAATGCCTGACAGATAATACTCACTAAATATTTGTTGAATCAATGAGTGAAAAGACAACTAGTATTGTTTCAGAGAATGGGACAGAGAGTTAAACAGAGTAATATAATATAATGTCAGAGGTGTGCAAGATTCAAACCATGTAAAGTTTTAGAAAAAGTCCAGGATTGGGAGTTTAGATGTTATTACAATTGCAATAAAAAATTATGGCGGGGGAGGGGGTGGAATTAAGCAGGGAAGTAACATAATCTGATTCACACTGGTTGATATCTGCAGAATAAATTTAGGGACACAAAGAGATTTTACTCATTCTTTCCTTTGCTAATATGAATGGGCAGGTATATCAGTCAGCTGTTGCTACATAACACAAAACTGAAAACTCAGTGACTAAAACAATTATCATATAGGGTGGGGCAAAAGTAGGTTTAGCAGTAGTTTGGGTGGAAAATAATACAATAATTAATAAATAATACAATAATAAACTGTTTCACATATTCACAACTATAAACCTATTTTTGCCCTACCCTGTATATTTCTACTTATGTGTCTGTAGTTAAGCTGATGGTTGATTAATATAAACAGGGTTCACCCAGGTGTCTCTGCATTTGGCTACATGTCCAGCTGAATTTAGCTTCTTTTTGTGGTGTTGTTGGAGAAAATAGGAGTCTTCCATGTTATCAAGGAAATGCATTTCAGGGATATGCACATAGGAGGATTTGAGGATAGTGGCAAGATTTACTAGAGTGAAAACAAAGAACTGCCCCCAGGTACACCATGCCCTGTGTCTCATCCATGACCAGGTAGGTGGCTCAGCTGCATCTTGTTGTGGAAGAAGTCCAGCCTCTGAGGCCGCAGGTCCACTCTCAACTCCCTCAAGCCCAAGAGGAGGGCCAGGACCCAGAGCCACTGCACCATTAGCCTGGCACCTGAGGCTCCAGTAGTCCGGCACAGTGTCCACTCCCATCTGGCCCGCACTGGGTGCTCCACTTTGGCCCGCGTGGCTGCTGAAGAGAGAGAGAGCAGACACAGATGCTACTGAAAGGGGCCTTTTAAAAATTATATTTCCTTGGGCTTAGACAAGAGTAGGCTTTCTTGGATTTTTTGGAGTTTTTTGCCCTGATCCTCTCTGGTCTTTTTCCCAGGCTAGACTCCTCCCCTTTATGGTTGTCATTTTCGCTCCTACTGTGCATGCCTCATGGTTTTGCTGTGTCATCTGGCTTATTCTACTGTACATACCTCAGCAGAGAAATTTCCCTTTTGCCGTTTATCCTCCCTTCACACCCTCACCCCCAGTTAATCTGGGGGAAACTGGCTGGGTGTTCCCTGGGTAAGTTTGGAAGCCTGTCTTTCCTGCCTACTCAGGGATTATGTCCCTTTGGAGTGTTTGTGAAGCTGCTCCTTCCTAATTAATCGGGCTTAATATCTTATTCCATTTGCTCCCTTCTTTTGTTAGTAACTGACTAACTACTGTCACAGTGGGATGAGGTCAGATCTGCTCCATGTATTTTTATTCTGGGACTCAGGCTGAAGGGGCAGCAGTTCCTCAGGGTAGTTCTATTCCTGATAAATGTAGAGGTTCAAGAGAATAAACCCAAAAAGATGAGCAAATCTGGACCCTCTCTGCATATTACCTCTGCTCGTGTCCCATTAGCCACCAACTCAATTTCATCTTAACATCAGAGGAAGAATACTCAGCCTACATCATGAGGATAAGGGAGTGAATATTTGCTGAATTTAAGCTAACCCATTGAACAGATAGTGAAACAATGATTTCCTTGAACTAAAAATATCTTGCAATGATTAAAAATGTAGTTTTATGTAACCACTGACTTCTTAGAAATTGGATATTCTACTTCATATAATAAACTGAACGATTTAAATTGATCTCTGTAAGCAAATTGTACTAGAACAAATTATTCAAAGCAGTTTATCTTTGTATAAGCATTAATAATAATTTTTATCTGATTTTGTTTGTACTTTATGGTTTTACTTTTCAGAAATAAGAAGAAATACTAGCTGGGGAATTGGGTTACTTGGCCTTGGTTTGGGCAGTTACACAACTTTGGAAAGTCACTTAAGATCCTGGCATCAGTTTCTTTAAAATGTCTTCCAACTACAAGTGCCTGTGAGTTTAGAGCTGGTCCATCAGCAATATTTATGAGCTGCGGGGATCATCAATAAATTACCCTGGGAACAAAGACAGCTTACAGTCAAACCACTGAATTGTAGAAGACATCTTCAGAATCAAGTCCAACTCCCTCATTTTAGACTTAATGAAACTGAAGCCAAGAGTGATTACTCAACTTGCCCATCAATATAGATAGTATTAGAACTTAAGGGGAAAGTCATATACTCCTATAGGAAATGTAACATTGTTTTAAAATTGTGTGTAAGTCAACTTTCACACCTCTACATAGAAGACATGTATTAAGTTGAACCATATGAAGTTGCTATTTTTTTAACATCAAAAATTGTCAGATATTAATTACATATGGTTTGACATATTTGAGAAATTATCAGTGCTTTTCATAAAAGCAAAAACTGTGTAAATTACCCAAATGTTAACCAATAATAAAACAAAAATTAATTATAAGATAGTCATACAGTGGGATTCTATAGAATAGTAGGGAGAAAAAACAAAACCTATAGCCATATGTATCTACATCAATAAATCTCAAAAACAAGTCACCAAAGAATGCATACTGTATAATCATATTTTTATATGTGCAAAACCTGGCAAAACTGAACACTTTATTACTTGAAGATACAGTCACGTAGGGGATTTTTTTAAGCAAGAGAATGTTCAGCAGAAAATCAGGATGGTCATTACCTCTGAGGGGTACTGTTTTATTTCTTAAATTGGGTAGTTGATTCCTTGGTGTCTATTGAATTGTTTTTCTTTATAACTGACACATACTTCCTAAATATCAATTACTCAATATTTAGAAAAATAAATAAGAAAATCGTCAAAGGAGTAATGCATGCTCCCTGCCAGCAGGAGTATAAATCAGTTGTCACTTCAGAGGATGACAGACAGTATCTATTAACATGAAAAATAATGAATATAATAGATTTTCTCTATGTTGATTATAGTTTGGATTCAGTTCCCTGATAATTACTTTGCTCACACAAATCTTTTTTTTATTTATTTTATTTAGTTACTTTTCAAGTACAATTTTTTTTTTCTCTCCCTCCCCCCTCTCACACAAATCTTAAAAACCACCTCTGATCTGGAGATCTAACTCCTCTGAAACACCTCGAAGTCCCTGCCCACACCCACCAACTCACCATTCACTTCCTCCTTCAGTCCTATCTGCCAGTAGACTGGCTCTCTCCTTAACAAACACCCAAGACATAAAATAATTTTAGTTCCAAGGTCAGTAACTACACCAGATTTTTATTTCTCCTGCCATAAAACATGCAGCATTGATGCCAGCCACTTACAATGAGAACTCACAGAATGCCACAAACATTATCTGCTCTCCCTTATTACCCTCTGCTCCCACACCTCCTAAAATGTCGGAAACATTCTGCTGTGTCAACAGCTTAAAAAGAATATTGTTCCATTGGAATGGGATCCACCCACAGTTTTCAGAGATGAAGTTTTGGAATGGTTAACTGTGTAGCAAATGACAGCAATGCAGCCATGGAATTCACTGGGAAGTCAAGTCACATGTTAAAACCCATTAAATTCTAACTATTAAAAATTACATTCCATTCTTGGGGTTTGAATGAAATGAAAAGTGCCCAGAACAAGATTGCTAAGGGATAGCTTGTTTTAAAATTTACTTCAATTCTTAACGAAAATAACTGGACTGAAAATCTGTTGAAGATATAGAATATCCTTGAAATGATATATAATTCTCCTCAGAATACTTAGGAGTTTTGTCTCAGAATTTATCCTGTATCTCTGAATCAAAGTTGATTGATTTTCAAGTTGCAGAGATAAATGAAATACTGATCATGAAAAGTTTAAATTCAGTCATTTTAGTTTTTCTAGATGTGACCTTTATGGTTGTTTCTTCACTTTATATGTGGTAAAAAATCAGATGACTTCATAATGTTTTGCTGGGGAGGTATCCATCCAATTAAAGTTTTGTCATCATTTGATCAAACTGATTTTGTTGTTTTTTTTGTTTTAGTTATGCCTTAAGATTTTTGAGATGTAAAATTGATTTTATTATTGAATTCTAAAATTATACTTGATGAATTTTTCTTTGCCCTTTTTTTTATTTAGGGTAATTTATAATGGGAAAATATGGCTTGAGAAGGAAAAAAAGTTGAGAAAACAGTCTGAAAATCTAGTCACAATGTTACCTGTTGACAGCTTTTAAGTGGAGAACGGATTTTAAAAGTTTGTAATATAGTGTAAAATATTTAGATTTTGCCTTTTAGTGTTTAGCCTTAAAATTCCAAGGTACTTATTTAATCATGGGTCTGGTTCAATAGATTACATACTTATTTGAATCCTATTCTTAAAAAAAGGCTGCTGGCAGTTAATTCATTTTCCTCTTAGATTCTATTTTACTTAGGAGAAGGTAGATTACGTAGACTTGAAAAATCATTCTCTTCAGGCAGAGTGGTACAGAAAATGAAATTTTTTTTAAAGATTTTATTTATTTATTTTTAGAGAATGGAAGGGAGGGAGAAAAAGATGGGGACAAACATCAGTGTGTGGTTACTTCCTGCACGCCCCCAAATGGGCAGCCTGGCCTGCAACCCAGGCCTGTGCCCTGACTGCGAATCGAACCAGTGACCTTCTGGTTCACAGACCAGCACTCAATCCACTGAGCCACACCAGCCAAGGCAGAAAATGAAATCTTTTAAATACATTTTCTTAAGTGTCTAATTCATACATCACCAAATGCATTAGATACACTTCCAGGAACATGGTGATTTCTAAACCATTGGGGTTGTTACACCCTCTCCCTACATTCAGATGTCACGGATACCGCTTTCCAGGAGACAGGCTGATGATATGGCGTGACATGGATGTGGGGGGGACTGTGACGAATGTCTGAGTGTAAGCCAGGTCTAAACAGCTACCTTCGCTGGAGCAGGTTACTGTTTTTCTAGAACCAAGTATCACCAAGATTTTCCAATTCATAAGAGAACCCAGGCTTTCATGCACAATCTCTCATATTTAGATGATAACAACTAAACAAATTTTTTAAAAAATTTTAAGATCCTGTGTGAGCCAAACTGAATATGTCCACAGGTCTACAGACTACCTGTTGGTCCCTTCCCTTCATGGGACAAAAAATGGTGTTTCGGGACAGTCCACTCAGGTTTCTTTTTCTTGCAGAAGGGGAGTAAACATGAATGCATCTCTTCTTTGTTTGTTGACCTTTCCTTCTCTCTTTTTTTTCCAGGCTACATGCTGTCCTTGGTCTGTCCAAACTCCTCCCAGGCTTGGTGTGAGATCACAAATGTGTCACAGCTGCTGGCTGCTCCTGTCCTCTACAGGGACCTGAATTCCAACTTGAGCATTTCTGCAAATGTAGAAAACAAATACAGTCTTTATGTGGGCCTGGTACTGGCAGTAAGTTCCAGTGTTTTTATTGGCTCCAGCTTCATACTAAAAAAGAAGGGCCTTTTGCAACTGGCCAACAAGGGTGTTACTAGAGCTGGTAAGAAATGAATGCAACTAACAAATTTACGTTTCTAACTGCAGAAATAATCCACCTGTAAGATCATAATGCTACATTAGTAATATTTTACTGTCGTCATTTATTGTAGCTTCTATCTCCAATCTTAGCAGTTCTTCTCTCAGCAGTATCCAGGTTTGAGCCAGCTGTGTCTCCCTTCTAGAGAGTCTAAAATTCTTGCTTCAAGAGGTTTCAAGTGTAGTATGGGTTCTTCTTTTCAGAGCTTTATTCTGCAGTTTCAGGAGTCAAAATCAGGTCATGCTACTCTGCCTGAAACACATCAGTGGCTTTTCTTTGCACTCAGAATACAGTCCAACATCCCCCCACAGCCTCAGACTGCCCGCATGAATCGGCCCTTGCTACCTCCCCAGCTTCATTTCTGCTATGTTCCCAGTCACCTACTTTCCTCTGGTTTCTGGAATATACAGAGTTCTTTCCCACCTCAAGGCCTTTTCCCTTGTTCTGGAATGCTTTTGCTCCTCCCCTTCATTTGGCAGCCTCATCCTTGAGATCTCAGCTTAAATACCATCACCCCAGAAAGGCCTTCCTGGGCCATTCTCTCTGGGAAGGTCTCCCACACCAGCGTGCTCTGTCATTCTCTATCATAGCACTAATGGTGTCCTTCAGTGCACCTAGAATAATTTGTCACTGTATATTTATTGTTTATTTACTTGTTGTCAACAGGTTTACCTTTTTATTGATAGTGAACTCACAAGAACAGGAGTCTTCCCTGGCATAGTGTTTGCCGCCCAGTAAATATTTGTTAAATCAAATGGATAGCAATAGAATTAGGTTGCTATGGATACTGATTTCACATGCTGACCAGCTATGCTTGACTACCCTTCATTATTCATGAATTTCATAATCATTCTTATCAAGAATAATATTATAACAGACCTAAATATTATCCTAAGGTTCATGTGGAAAAATAAATGCCTACAAATTGTGCAAACAGGTTTATAAGACTACTATTGAGTGGAGATTGGCACTATCAGAAAATAAAACATTCTATAATGCTATCCTAAGTAAAGCAGCTTGGTTCTGGCATTCAAAGGATAGATAAAAATAATAAAAGATAATTAAAAATGTATAAGGGGGCCCGAGTACATACAATAATTTAATGTATGATTTTTAAATGGCATTTTAATTCACTGGAGAAGGGATTTATTATTCAATCAAGAGCATTAAGAAAATTGTAAAAAATTAGAGGGGAAAAATATAGAAGAGCTACTTTATACCATTTATCCAAATAAATTCTACATAGCTTACAGTTAAAATGAAATCTTTAAAAAAAGAGAAAAGAAAACTAAAAGAAGGCTTTTCTAAGCATAAAGATAAAGGAAGAAACTATTCTATGTAGTTTCTGGATTGACCAAAAAATAAAAAATATCTATATAGAAACACCTTTAACTAAACACCTAAAATAAAAAGGAAATGACATGGGTAAAAAAATTCTAAGTATAATAGAAAGTATTAGAAGATCTTTGGAAATGGCCAAGTAAATAAGTTAAAAGACTACATATACTCACTTGGCCTTAATGCTTGCCTTTTCCAACCATATTCCAGTACCTACAAATCAATTCTCCAGACCTTCTTCCTTCACTTTATAACTTAATTTAAATTTTTATCATTTTCCTAGGCCAAGGTGGACATTCTTACCTCAAGGAATGGCTCTGGTGGGCAGGATTACTCTCAAGTAAGTCCTAACACTAAGAATAGTGTTGACTTTTAAAATGATAAATTGCATGAAATTGTTCAAAATTGATTAATTTAGCTTCCTAGTAAGGATGGCATTTAAGTCCCGAAACTTTTTTTGCACGTATAACATACTGTCTTACATATAAAATGTCATATGTATTTAGAATTAAGTTTTACACTCCTTCTCCCACCCCCATGTTCTGAATACTTTCTTGGAATGCAAAGGAAAAAGTTAACATTTGAAATATATTTTATCACAAACTTCTCCTCTTATTGTATTCTCCATAACAAGGGAGGAAAATGCTTTCCCCTCACATTTTTCCAGCTCTGAATTATAATCTGGGACTTTTCTGCCTGCATGGTTTTATTTTTAATATTTTATGTTTACAGAGAGGGAAAGGAGGGGGAAGAAGAGGGGAAGAAACATCAATGTGTGGTTGCCTCTCATGCAGCCCCCACTGGGTACCTGGCCTGAGACCCAGGCATGTGCCCCAACTGGGCATCAAACCAGTGACCCTTTGGTTCACAGGCCTGTGCTCAATCCACTGAGCTATACCAGCCAGGACTCTAGCTGGGTGTTTTCTAAGCAACAGGTACAATTTCCTGGCCAGGACCAAAGCATGGATAAATTAAAGTTCTCTCTGGCTGCTTAGCACTTGAGCAAATAAAACAGTGATTTCCAGCCAGTGTCCCGTGGCACACTGGTGTGCTGTAAGAATTTTTAAAACCTGCAATACATGAGTATTTAGTTAGAGGCCCTGACCGCTTTTTCCTTGGACTGTCAAATAAGAAATGACAACAATCAATACAACAATATCCATCCACTGCGAATGAATCAAAATTATACCTCTTTTTGTCAGGTTGGCAGAAATACATATTTTTTGGTGTGCTGCCAAATTTTAGTAATTAGTTCATGTGTGCAACAAACGAGATGAAAAAGGTTGAAAATAACTGACATAAAGAGATGATGAAGGTGGTCAGCACTCCCCTTCCCCTAGACTTGCTCTGAGGATTAAGTGGGGGCTCTGTAGGAGGTGAAAGCTTTCCCAATGCTAAGGTGATGTCCAAACAGCAGGCACTTATCTCCCTCATTACCCCTTTGCAAATTTCTGTTTCCCTTCAAACTCCTCTCAACTCTCTTAAAAAACCTAAAGCTTCCAAAGAAAGGACTTCGTAAATTGTAATTCATACCACTAGCAAATCATCTCCCTCGATAGCCAGAAGCCTTAAACCTGCCATTTGTTTTCCCACACCATTGCAGTATTTGTGAGGTTCTGTTATAGGAAAGAACAGGAATTCTTTTCACAAATGACAGAATCTAAAAAGACGATGAATAAAAATAATTTAAATTTGTACAGACCTTTCTGCTTCTAAGGTGTTTGCACACCTGTTTTCTTATTTCATTTGAATAAAAGTTGACAAGGACTGTAGTGGGAAGATTCCAGATGGATATTTAGATGATTCTTTTCTCTTTTCTCTCAAGTCTTCCCATCCTTTACCCATGCAAGAGAATGAAAATGTAAGGAGAATATCATATGGCTACATTTAGAATTTTACTCTCATTATGTACAAAGAGTATGCCAGTACTGAAGAGAAAAAGCATGTCTTTACATTAGAGATTTTTATCCAGTGACAAACATCCAGTGCTTTAATTATGAAATCAATATTTTCCTGGAAAGCCATCTATAAAGATAAAAGCCATCTATAAAGTGTTCAAGAATGCTTAATACTCTTAAAAAAACAGCCATTGCTCTTCTTACAGAGCAGTCTCCTAAGTGTTTTTGTCTTACGTACGATGTTTTCCTAAAGCTAAGTACTCCTGTAGCTTTGGCTGGGGGTGTGGGGCTGGGGCATAGCAGACAGAGGGAAAAAGAAAAAGCTTGCTGGTGTGTTTTGTCTGTTCCGGAACTTTCTCTACAATAAGTGTGTTTGGCATAGTTTGCCAGTGTGAAATACTACATTCTGTGGGCAAGTGTTCAATTGTAACCCGTGAGAATAATTTGGCCTCAATTCAAGGGCCCAACTCTTGGAGGAATTTTCTCTCCCTCCAGAAGCTATTTGCATCACAGTATCTCATGGAAGTTTCAAGTTCCTCAGATAAGATGGGGATTGATGGAGCACATTGTTATGACTTTACAACAACTGCTTGGCTCTCCTTAAGCTACTAAGGTAGTGTTACCTGCTTATAGGTCACCTGTAACTGATGCTTGACCATGTGGGCCCTTGGTGGGTGACTCTGGCTGTTCCCTGCCTGGGCAGTAGATCTCTACAAAGCATTCCAATTTTACAAGGTTTTTTGTTGTTGTTAATTTGCATAACAGTAAGTATTCTTGAGCAAACAGAATCATTCTCTGCTTACTCCAAAGCTACCTCTACTAGATTTCATCAGAGTGACCATATATGTTTCTGGTACTGAAGTAACTAAAAACTTTATGTGAAAGTTGAGCTTGTATGACCAGGTGATTACAGTTTATCTGCATCCCTAATGCCAATCTCCCCTTTCCTCCATAAAAAAAAAAAAGTTAATTATTCCCTCTCGTTCAATCTATCAGTGTCATTGGGCTAAAAATCTATTGCTTTGCATCTGTTTTCCTGTACTGACAAAATAAGTCCATACTTTGTAGTAACACTGCTGCTTGCTTTCCAGTGGGAGCAGGAGAGGCTGCGAACTTTGCGGCTTATGCTTTTGCACCTGCCACCTTGGTCACCCCGCTGGGGGCGCTGAGTGTTCTCATAAGGTACGTGAGCAAGAAAGAGCTTGGGTTCTATAGGGATTCTAAAACCATGACAAATTTAACTCCACAAGAAATGTAGTGCTAAGCATATCTCAAAACAAAGTTTAAAAATTGCAAAATAATTTGAGAACACTACACGAGAGTAGAAATACAAAATAGATGGCCTATTGTTATTTAGAAAACCTCTAAGAGAGTGAGCCTGGTGTTCTGCCAACACAAAGTATTTGTGTGTTATATTTGTGATAATTCAACAGCAGATTTTTTGCTTTCTCAGCTGATCAGCTTGCCATAGCCCTTTTAATTCTCTCTGTTGTCATAGTGGTTAATATCATGGCTATTACTGGACTTTCACTTATTTTTAGGTATATTTTATTGATTATCCTATTACAGTTGTCCCAAATTTTTACCTTTGCTCCCTGCCACCTGGTACCCCCTTCCTTGCAGCAATCCCTGTCCCCAAGTGCATGTCCATGGGTCATGCATGTAAGTTCTTTGGCTTCTCCATTTCCTATACTATTCTTAACCTCCTCCTGTCTATTTTGTCCTTACAAATTATGCTTTTAAATCTCTGCACCTTTTCCCCTGTTCTCCTCCTTCCCCCTCTCAGTTGATAACCCTCCAAATGATCTCCATACCTATGATTCTGTTTCTGTTGTAGTTGTTTGCTTAGGTTGTTTTTATTTTTGGTTTTTTTTAAAGATTCAGTTGTTGATAGCTGTGAGTTTGTCATTTTAATGTTCATAGTTTTGATCTTCTTCTTTTTCTTAAATAAATCCCTTTAATATTTCATGTAATACTGGTTTGGTGATGATGAACTCCTTTAGCCTTACCTTGTCTGGGAAGCACTGTATCTGCCCTTCCATTCTAAATGATAGCTTTGCTAGAGTAATCTAGGTTGTAGGTCCTTGCTTTTCATCACATTGAATACTTCTTGCCAGTCCCTTCCTGCCTGCAAAGTTTCTTTTGAGAAATCAATTGATAGTCTTATGGGTACTCCTTTGTAGATAATGCTCTACTTTTCTCTCACTGCTTTTAAGATTCTATCTTTAACCTTTTGTATTCCAATTATGATGTGTTTTGGTGTGGTCCTCTTTGCATCCATCTTGTTTGGGATTCTGTGCTTCCTGGATGTGTATGTCTATTTCCTTCACCAAATTAGGGAAGTTTTCTTTCATTATTTTTTTCAAATAAGTTTTCAATTTATTGCTCTTCCTGTTCTCGTTCTAGCATCCCTATGATTCAGGTCTTGGAATTTTTGGAGATGTCCCAGAGTCTTCTTATACTGTTCTTGTTTTTTGAATTCTTGTTCCTTCATTCTGTTCTGGGTGAATGTTTATTTCTTCCTTATGTTCCAAATCATTGATTTGAATTGCGGCTTCCCTCCCTTCACTGTTGATTCCTTGTGGATTGTTCTTTATTTCACTTAGTGTAATTTCTTCCCTTATGTTGTTGCCATACTCAGTGAGTTCTTTGAGCATCCTAATAACCACTGTTTTGAACTCTGCATCTGATAGGTTGGCTATCACCATTTTGTTTAGTTCTTTTTCTGGGGTTTTGTTCTGTTCTTTCATTTAAGCCATATTTCTTTGTCTCCTCAGTTTGGCAGCCTTGCTGTGGTTGTTTCTGTGTGTTAGGAAGAGCTGCTTTGACCTCCCTGTCTTAGTGCACTTGTTCAGTTGTATGGGGCAGAGCCTTAGGTATTGGCCAAGGTGGGGCAACCCACTTCACAGGCTTTGTGGCTCTGCATGGGGGAGGGCCTGGAGAGGGGACAATGTAGCTGCCTGGCTTCTGGAGGTTTGCCTAGCACTCACTCCATTTCCAGTCATTTTACCCATTTCCTGTATGCGACTGGCACCCTTCCAACTGTTGCCCTGGTGGTGAATGCCAAAGTGGGTGGGTTTACATACGTTCTAAGTCCCTGTGGGCCATTTAAACGGACTCTCCTGAGAAACCAGCAGTTTCTTCCACTGATCCAACCCCCACTGGTTTTTACAAACAAAAGTCTGAAGCTTTACCTTCCCGGCACTGGAACCCCGGGATGTGCAGTCTGGCCTGGGGCCGGTATCATCACTCCCAAGGTATCCCTTCCTATTTCTATCTGCCACACACGGATGTGGGACCACCTGTCCCACTGCCCCCACTGCCTCTCCACACCATACCACATCTCTTCACTTCTCCACTCCAATCCCATGTCTCTGCCCTCCTACCCATCTGGATGAATGTGGCTTCTTTAAATCCCTCATTGTCAGACTTCTGTACAGTTCAATTTTCTAGCAGTTCTGGGCGTTGCTTATTTTGAGGTTAGTTGTAATTCTTCTTGTGGTTGTGCAAGGAGGCGAAGTGTGTCTACCTATGCCTCCACCTTGATGAGAAGTCTGTTGTAGTACTTTTAAAAAAGCATAGTGTTTGGTTAAATTTCAACTCTGGCTAAAAGTCTTGCATTGTCTCCCGGTTACTTCTGTGTGGAGGTCTCTTCACATCTTTAAGTCCTGGCAAAGGGAATAATTTTCCCATTCATAGAATGTGGGTCTAATAGTTATGCGTTGGTCTTTATTATGATTCCAAATGAGTGTGTTCAACATGCCCACAAATGCTTATTTTGTAGCTAAGCAACTTGTTTGTTTTCTTTTTCTTTTCATCTTCATTCATTATCGACCTTTAGTAGAAAGATTATGACAATGCCTACCCACTTTTCACCTTCTTTGTAGGATTGTTTTGAGAATTCAGTGAGTCGATACACATAAAGCACTAAAACGTTGTCAACACAATGAATGATAGCCATTAATAGTAGCCGTGTTTTCCTTGAGGCTGCAGACCTCACAAGTGACCACACGAGGGTGACTCTTAGAAAGCACCTGGTAATTAACCAGTCTTTGGTGCAAATAGGTTAATACCAGGGCATTGGGGGTGCTTAGGAGCCACAGCATACATAATGGTGAATCATCAGGATGGCATAGTCTGGTGCCCACAGGGGTGCCAATGTGGAACTACCTGAGATCGTGGTGACCAAAGTAGATTGAGTAGGTAAAAGTACCAGGGCAGTGGCTGTTGATAAGGAAATATTTTAATATTTTGACAACCCATATAATTATACTTATGTGAACTAGCTAAATATCAGCCCTGAGCTGAGTAATTCTTTAAGCATTCTTTGAAGTTGCCATGTGTGCATGAATTCTAAATATAACATGCCAATAAGATGGGAAAGATGGGAAAATTGAAAATGAGTTGAGTGGGTTGCCTTAAAAGGTCATGGGAAGTTTAGAGGGACATAGAATGTCTATTTTAAATCTTTAGATATAAAAGCAATTATGCAGATTTGATTGAGCATCATTTCTGTGATTTAAAACTAATCAGGGCTTTTAGTGTCACGTGGCTTATATAGATCAGTTGCTCGGGGGACAGAGCTGCATGGGCCACTGTGCACCTTCTGAGGTGCTGTGGAATCAAAAGGTAATTGAACAAGAGTGATTTATTTTTCTTCTCCCAACAGTGCAATATTGTCCTCCTATTTTTTAAATGAGCACTTGAACATTCATGGGAAAATAGGCTGCATACTAAGTATGTTGGGGTCAACTGTGATGGTTATCCATGCCCCACAAGAAGAGGAAGTCGCTTCTTTGCATGAAATGGAAATGAAATTGAGAGACCCAGGTCTGTGATTCAATCAAAAGAAGCACTCCAGTTCTGCTCCAATTTCTCTCTTCAAATGAATCGTGATAATATTGCAGTTGGCTTGCTACAAGTTGGGTTGTGACTGAGGTTTTTCCAAGTATTACAAGTCTTCCGAAATGGTGACACAGCTTACTTTCATGTCCATGTGTCCCCTCTACATAATGAGAGGAAGAGGTGAGGAGAGAAGAGGCAAAAGACTTATGCTCCAACCCAAATTTAGCCACTCTCTCCCTCTGAAAATAAAAAATCAATCAGACAACATCTGCCATACTACATAGTGTTCTCTGTGAGATTCAAATGATATTTGGGGGAAGTCCTTTTTAAAATATCAAGAGCTGTGCAGTAAAGTATTGTTGCTTTTGAAAAATGTAATCTCACTTCCCTATCTAAAACACCTGTTCTTCTAAACTCATGACTAATAAGATGTCACAAAGACATGATCCTCTGAGCATTTTCTGAAGTCTAATTTTTTTTAATCTCCAGAGAAAGGGGAAGGGAGGGAGAAAGAGAGGGAGAGAACCATTAATGTGTGGTTGCACCTTGTGCACACCATACTGGGGACCTGGCCCACAACCCAGGCATGTACCCTGACTGGGAATTGAACCAGCGACCCTTTGGTTTACAGGCCAGCACTCAATCCACTGAGCCACACCAACCAGGGCTGAAGTCTAATTCTGTTTTCTTCTTAACAGGATTCATTTCTTTTGCTGTGATCATTTCTGTGATTGCCTTGGTGCTGATTTTGATCGTGGCTCCCAAGAAAGGACAAACTAACATCCTGGTCTATATTTCAATCTGTTCATTGATTGGAGCATTTTCAGTTTCTTCTGTCAAGGGCCTGGGAATTGCCATTAAGGAACTATTGGAATGGAAGCCAGTTTATAAGCATCCCCTTGTTTTTGTTTTGCTGGCTGTACTTGTGCTTTCCGTGACAACACAGATTAACTATCTCAACAAGGCACTGGACACTTTTAATACATCTCTTGTCACTCCCATTTACTATGTGTTCTTTACATCCATGGTAGTAACTTGCTCCGCCATCTTATTCCAAGAATGGTATGGCATGAAGGCTGGGGATATCATCGGGACCCTGAGTGGGTTTTTCACCATTATCAATGGCATCTTCCTTCTACATGCTTTTAAAAACACCAACATTAGCTGGAGTGAACTGACATCCACTACTCAGAAAGAAGTGCTCTCTCTGAGTGGCAATGAAGACAAATATGTCTTACTAGAGAATATAGACTGCTCAAACTCAGGATATGAGGATGACATTACCTTGTTTAGCAGGTTTAATGAATGATCAAAGTTGCTACAGACCCTGAACTTGAACCAATAAGAGACATTTGAAGAGGAGAAGGAATACCTGACTCTTGGAATGACCATTAGGAAAGGTGACATTTTTAAAGTTCTAACTAATAATTTAGATTTGAGGCCCTTGCATCTCAGTTAGATGAGTCTCAGAATAATCTCTTTCTTCTGGTCACAGTGTCCGTGGGCTTGTCAGGTGGCTCTTTGTTTCTCTGACAGTTATTCTTAGTCTCACAGCAAGTCCTAGATAAACTTAACTGTGTGCTGCCAAGCAGAGAGAGTGTCCATCATTCTCTGATGAGTCATAGTTTCAAATCATTAAAACTGAGGTGTGAGACGGCTGATGCTCTTTTCCCCTTTCCACAAATGAGATAGCTAAAGGGGAGGACGTTAAAGAAAAAAGAGGCCTGCTCTGGATGTCTGCTCCTTGTGTGTCATACCGCAATGACACGTATGTCCATGAAGAGCTGATGAATTGTAACTGTCATTTATGAACATATCACAGACAATTATTACCAACTTAAAAAGGGAAGAATTGAGGAGGGAAATATTTTATGCCTTAGGTAAATTAAATAATTTATTTTTATTTTTACAAAAACAGACACAAGTGATTGTGTTCAAGAGTTTCTTTTAACTCAAACCTGAGGAACATAAGATAAAATTGAATTTCTGGAGAAGTCCAAGTGAATTCAATTTTGGAATCCCCTGTGTTCATTTTGTGCTACTATCTTTATTTTATTTTTACTACTATCCCAAAGGTTATTTTCCTTATTGATGTAGAGATTTTTGTAAAGTAATTGCTACATTATTTTAGGATCGTATTGTACACTTAAATTCTTCTCACATGTTTAATTCCCATAGGGTGTGTTTTTCACATAAAGATCTTCTCAAAAGATCTTTATGAAAAACTGAATTTATCATCATTGTTCTCTTGAAACTTTGCACTTTCAAGCTTGTTAAGGACATTGTAATTAGTTACAAATTGTTTTGAAAATATACATGTCCTACTACAATAAGTAGTAGATTGTCTCAATCTGTGGAATTTTACCCTGACCACATTTTCTATACATTTTATTAAAAAATGTTTTGGAAGAATAAGAAGAGGAATTAACTTCCTACAAAACAAGTATTAAGATCTCAGGAATTACTATAGGGAAAAAAATTCAGTATGGAAACCTACATAAAATGTTCCTGTCTCCAAATGCTAGGCAAGAATAACACTTTTGGTGGACTTTAATGTTTATGGACAAATCTCTCATCACTCATTGATTTAATGAAAAAGGGAACATGAGCTATCTTCTAGACTAAACATATTTCTTGCAGAACAAAACAACAATCCTAACCAAAAAAACTGTGACGTTAAAAGAACAAAAACCCTTCTGGCTCACCGGATTTTTCTGTTCTAACATTAAATGTTATTAGTTTTGTTTGTTTGTAACCTAGCTCAAGTTTGTGCTGGGTAATAATAGTAAATGCTCTTATTCAGAATTCTATTAGACCGGCTTTCAAGTTCCCCAGTTCTACTGAACTCTGACGGATTTCACAGTGAAGCCCGGACATGACTGCCAAGCCTGAACGTGCTGTTCCAGTCTCCCACAGTTTAGCGTTGAGAGCAATGCGATGCATTCTAAATTTCTGAAAACTGATAATCCATGGAAGATACATGGGTCAATACCTCAGGTCAAGTGCGTGTTTACTCTGTTGACTGCTATTTCACTTTAACTGTATGTCAGATAAATAAGCTATGAACGCACATTTGTAGAAACAGGTAGTATTTAAAAAATGTAGAAATTATTTTAAAGTTTTTACTTTTTTCTATTGAAAACTTTACTGGTGCCTCCAGGATACCTTCTTGTGAGGAAATTCATGGCATCCAACTGGAGGCTGTGAATTTTCATGTCAAATATTTTTTAAATGTCACCTGTCGTGAAATGTTGCCCTTGGTGTATTGTGTTCAGGTTGAAGGTTCTTGGAACACAAGAACCATGTGTGCCCTGGCTCAGAAAAATAGACTGGTGTTGACACATATGCGCAGGAAAAACACAGAAAAATTTAATCAGTTGAAATATGTTGAGAAACAATGAAATATTTGAAATACTCTAAAAATCCCCAGAGGGCATACTCATTGAAAAACCAAAATGTGAGCATAAATATTGTTGAAGGAGGAATAAAATGCTGGATCAAATTTTCAGACCAACCATGTTAGTCTTAACTAGTAGTCTCACATATGTATATATTTTAATATATACACTTTATCTCACATAGATGATATCTGAGGGTTAATTATGTGAATACCTGTATGTGTGTCATTAAGGATTACAAAATTGTCCTCACACAGCCAAATTGAAAGGTTGAAACCTTTTTCTAGTTCTGTAAACATAATAGTTTCACTTTATTTTTTTGACTTGTAATTTTACTTTTAGGTCAGTGGTTATGATTTTGTTTTTAGCGCAGATTGCAGAATGTTCATAAAACCCTTTAGATTTAGCAGCATGAAAATAACGGTTTTATTTTAAGAGCACTAAATCAAATACATGGAAAGCACCCCATATCATGCCCGACACATGAGGCATTTAATAAAGTTTATTCTCTTCGAGTCAACATCTTAATTCTTAGTCTGATTACCAGATAGATAAGGACCATTAGTTGCCAGTTTTCAAACTACATTCTCCATCTTTCTTCCATTTGTGTGCAGTGGCTCATTTTAAGTAATACAGGTGAGAATGAATGCCATTATACTATCCCAACACAAGCCAGAACAAAGTGATTCCAACAAAAATATTTTCTTCTTCTTTTTTTTAATTTTAATTGTTGCTCAAGTACAGTTTTCTGTCTTTTACTCCCATCCCATCCCATCCCCCAATCCTCCCCATCTCCCTATTTTATTCTTCTTAATAAAACTGAACTAAGTGCAATCTTCCCACTCCAACAAAATTTTGTAGAAAAGTAATTTATATAAATATATGTGAAATGTTCTCATATATTTTGGATAAACTCTATGGTCATGAAGTTTTCTATTTTTACAATGTTTATAAATACTGGTCATTTTTTTAAGTTTATAAATTTTAAATTAATGTTTCTGTATATTTTTTATTTTCAATAAAATAATATGTTTTAATTATGCTTGTTGCAGTTCAGTTTTTAGTATGTTGAAGTTAAGTTTATGTAATGGCAAAAAGATCCCCACTTAGTTTTGAGAAATAAAAAAGGGGTTTCAAGGTTTTAAAAATATCTGCACTTGGGTTAATTTTGCTTTATCAATTTCCTTGAAGTTAAAATCTGTTTTTTAGAAGACTGTAGGGAATCATTCTGCATGGTGTGGGGAATGTAGCCCAGCCCCTGATTTGGAAAACTGAAGGGGATCAAGGTCAGCACACAGGACAAATGCCCATGGATAGGTTCTCCCATGGGGAATCAGGCCTGCATTGTATCTAGGCCACTTTGAGGCTGGCTTTTGCTAAAACTCCTTCCCCCTGAATTGAGGCAGAAAAATGTTTACTGCATATCTTTAAAGTAACTTCCTAAAATCTATGCTAAACCTTCCAAGGATGAGTGTAACCAATTCAACCACTTTTCCCTTTGCATTTGCAAATATCCTTCTTCTCTGATGTGATTAGCAACATCCTCTCCTTTGTTATCTGTAAAAGGCAACCACCTAAAGCGAACCTGTCTATAGTAAATGTAATGTGCCTAGAAAAGCAATACAAGCCCATCTGGGCAGGGGCCGGGGCCCTCTCTCTCACTCGGAGTGGCCATGCTGTCCCTTTTTCTCCACAGGACTTCTGCAGTCCATGTGAATTTGTTGGTCACACCCACAACACACGGACCCCATGGGCCGGGGTCTGTATCAGAAGATGACTCTCTACAAAACCATCTCCTGTATTAACGGACTTGACACCAGGAGAAAAAAAAAACTATCTTATTTTTCAGTAGTTTCATGGAATAAGGTAGGAGCTCAAAGCAGTCAATGTAATGAAAATCACCCCTTCCCCCAGTCAAGAGATTTAAGAGGAAAAGAAAGTATTATAAAAATATTTGGTAGCATTGCATTACATCAAAATTTACATTTGTAAACCCTATGCAAATTGCCTTCTGGCCCTGGTGTAACTAGAGCTTCATTTCATATACAGACCAAATCACCACAACTTTATCCATTTTCCCAGACTGGATTTGGACTCGTGTATGAGAACAACTCCTTCAGGTGCTTCCATGGAAATGAATTATCCTAAAAGGCATGTTTCATACCTGTGTCCCATGCCCCTTCCTTCCCACCATTTTATAAATGCAGAAACAAGGATAATATATAGTTCCCTAAATCACATAGTTACCCAGGACCAGAACGAGGACCAAAATCCAAGCCTCCCAACACCCCCAACTAAAACCATGGAAGGTGGGCCTGTCCAAGGAGGGCTTGGAAAGAGCAGGCCTGTCCCAGCAGGGTCGGAACAACGATTCTCGCCGGCAAGCTGTGTTTGTGGGTACCAAACTTGTTGGCCCCCTGGGCTGCAGTGTACAGGAAGCCTCTAAGAGGTGAGCTGAAGTTACGAAGAGTCTTTAACTTTATAACGAGCCACATATCTTCCACAACTGAAAGCCTCAATTGATTGCAAAACAAAACAAAACAAAATAAAAAAAGGCCTTTCGAGAAAGCTGACTACCTGAGCCACCCTTTTCCCACTTCAGTTATAAATCATGAAATCCTTTCTTCTTAGGGACAACTGACTCTCTATAAACACGGTTAATGTAGGAGAAAACCTTCGAGTTAGAAAGCATTTTAGTTTTTATATGTAGAATTCCCTTGTGGCCAGGGCCAAGAGTGGGGAGGAATCCACAGGCCAAGCCCTGCCAGCCTTGGGAGCTTATCTAGCCTTTGGAAGACAAGGTCTCACACCAGTTTTTACTCATGAGACCACGTGGGCCTCCCTCCCACCCAGTCCTGTGTAGCCCTAGCAACTACTGGATGGGGGGGTGATGGTGGAAGCAGATGGACAAGGTTGGTTTTAGAGCGAGAAAAGCCATCCTGAGCACCATGTTCCCACAATCCCCTCCCACTTTCTGCCTTCTATGACTCAGCCAGCAGCTCCCGACCTCCCGTGAACTGCACACAACTCAGCCCGGCCCCAAAGCTTGTAGACTGCTTTGTGAATGCCTTCCACAGGCACTCACTGACCAGAGAAACCAAACACAGGGCTCTGATTGTTTCATTTCTACAGCGGCAACCTCTGGATCTCCCCTAGAATAAATCCTGGGTAATGATATGTGGCTTCTCCTTGAGTTAGTTGTGCCTAACAAACATCCGGAAAATAAACTCAAGGATATCTCGTAGCCTAACCCCAAGGAAGCGGGTTGTTTCAAAGACCAGGAATGAGCAAAACAGCCCTCTGGCTCAGGTCTCCCTGTCTCTCAATCAGAGTTTGCCTTTGTTTTCACTGTTAACATTTCAGCATATTACCAGAAGAATTTTAAAGAAAATATATTTGAATAAGAGAGATCTCTCTTTCCTCAACTCAAGGAAATATAAGGTTGTGTCAATGGACCATTCTTAGTGAAAACAGACAAAGTAAATTCTTATGGGTACAATTGAGTTTTATTTACTCTGGTGCCCTCCCTTGAACTAAATTCCTTCTAAATAATCTTGCATGCACAGAGAAAAGAGCAAAGCTTTCTACCAGTTTTTAGAGTCTGTTTTCAGGATCGCAGGGTGTAAACATAAGTAATGCTGTGAGGCAGTCTTTTCAGCAAGCGCGGAGACAGACTCGTCAGCAAAGGGAACGGCAGCCGCTGGGTCGAGTTTATCTGGGTAGAAAGGAGGACCAACAGCTGCGGCAGCAGGATGGTTTCCTGTGCAAACCAAACTGGTCTAGAATCAAAAGGACTCGAGGAATTCGATGCAGTTCAGATTACACACATCAATTCCACGTCTTATGGGGAGGTGCCTGCTGATTGAAGATTAGCCCATAGCAAAAGGAAAAATAAAAGTGTGGAGGAACTGGTCAAACAAGATTGAGGCTGTATTATTTGTGTAGCTGCACAGTGTGGAGCAGCTGGGACCGGGTGAAGCAGGTACCCACGACAGGAGTGAGGGATCTGCTCGAACAAGGTCAGCATAAGTCACAGACCAACAGAGTGAAGGCGACCTCTTCCACAAGACCCATCCGTGTGTCCATGGTCCTCAGAAGGCCACAACTTCAGAATTGTGAACGAGACATAAAGGCCAAGATCTAAGATATGTAGCTGAGCAGAAACACATTTGATTTGGTTATCAAGCAGAGAAGAAAATGAGCTTACTTCAAAGTCAGAAGTCCACTCACCGACTTTCATTGCCCCCATTCAAGCAGCAGATGTCAGAGAATAACAAACCAAGGCATGCAGTGTGCCTTCGCATCCCCACCCCACGAGATGCACTGAGGAAGTCCTACCAGTTTCAGGGCACCTTTACTATCTCCTCCAGACACCTACCTGCTAGTACTAAACTCAAGTGAGGAGAAGCTGCAAGTTCCCTGCCTCCAGGTTCCTGCTGCTTTGTAAAAAGGCACTGTATTTCCTCTGCTCTCCTTAGCTTTGATTCCATAGCCATTCGGGTGCTGAAATAGCAAAATGGCAGGCAGGCTAGTAAAGCAGGTGGTGAGTTAGCAAGGGAAAGCTGTTAGTCATCAGGCCCTGAGGGACCATCCCTCTCCCTTCGTTCTGCTTTGTAATGAACTTCACAAGGAGCCTGGACCCAGAGAACCATATCTATAGACACATAAAGGGTTTTATCTAGTGCAATGATTTGGGGCCCTGACTGCACGTGACTTTCACCTAAGGAGGTTTCTTGAAATTACCAGGCCTAGGCCCACCCTGGACCCATTAAATACAATAGCTGAAGGGTGGATACAGGCAACTATTTGTTAGAAGCTCCCCAGATGATTTTAATATGCAGCCAGGGTTAAGAATCAGAGATCTGTTCTAAGATCCCACCTATTTATAATTCACATTCTAACTTCAATGTTGTTTTTTAAAAAACTGCTGAAATATAACATGCGCACATTTCATGGTTGTGGTTGTTTTCAGTCGATCGGGTGGATTTCAGCAACCTTGGAAATAAGGTAAGTAATTTGTGTTCAGGACAAAAGTTGCCAACAGGAGAGTCAGCAGGGATGTGTCTGTCATTTGGGAATGGGCGTGGCCTGAGGTGATAGAACATTTGACTCATAGTGGCTTAAAGAGATAGGGCCTCATTTGTCTCAGACAGCAAGGTTGGATGTGGACGGTTTAGAGCTGGTGCAGTGGCTCAACGATCCCAGGAGGGACCCAGGCTCGCTATTTTTTCTGCTCTGTAGAGAGAATTGCCAGTTTTAACAGCAATGTTGAAAACTCAAGATACCCAGTTAAATTTGAATTTCAGACAAGTAAACTTAGCAGAAGTATGTCCCATGGAATATTTGGAACACACTGATGTTTGCTGACAGCTTTCAAGCCCTGTCACTCCCTCTTTTCCTTCTTCCCCCAACCTGAGCAAGCTGATCAGAAAGGCCAGGTGCTCTTGTCCTTGGCACCAGCCATAAGTTCAAACCACAGAGAGCTGCAGCACCCCCAGGCCAGTCCCACCCCTCAGCACCATAAAACCTCAAAGCAGTCACCTCTCCACCCCCACCCGCCCCGCTCTCTCAAAGCTTTTATTGGATTTTTTGGGCAGCCTTCCCGGATATCCTCAGAAACTCATGAGGTGAGTCACAAATCTCTCACACCCTCTAGGTACGTGTGTGATGTCAACAGTGTCCACGCCGGGACCAAAAGTGGGATGGGAGTCTATCCACTTGTGGGGATGGCCCCAACAGGAGAGGTGACCACAACACTTACACTAAAAAATTAATTGTTATCTATCTAAAATTTATATTGAACTGCACACCCTATATTTTTATCTGGCGAACTATCTATGAGCCTTCCTCTTCACACCTGTTTCCTCTGAGTCACAGGTGGGCACTCCAACTTCATGTCTCAAAGCTGTGTCCCAAGGCAGGAAGAGGCAAAAAAGTTTTCCTTCTGGTGAGAC